CATTTATTTCCAACCCTTTTGGAAATGGTCATGCTTTGCATGTTCTATCCTGATCTTATTCTAGATTGCAATATGATGAATGGCTATGTAGCATTCCATTGGGATTTTCAGGGAACGATCATAGATGCAGAGTTACCAATCTTGACAAAGTGGTGTTTTTTCTTCCCTACAGATTGTGGAAGAGGAAAATATTGAAGTTGACTCGAAATTCCGGGCTTTAGTTGCCATCGGATCGCTGGTATATCTCACCCTCTCTACGTAGACCCATTGAATTACTTTTCAAACTCTCTGATTTTTTTTAATGCAGCTGGCATTTTTTTCCCATTGTCAAATATTAGCAAATTGATTGAGGAAGGATTTTTTTCCTTCCAAATAATCCTTTTGTTTTTTCGTGTATGTCATGATGAAATGCTATTTTTCTTGTATACCATGGTACCATCTTGATCTTCAATATGTAGTAAATGAATTTCAAAATGTTTACAGTCTTCATAATGTTTATTGCTTATCTACTACATTTTATCTTACTCATCCAACGAGGCAATTAACATGAATTATGAACTTCTGAATTTCGAGTAAGGGAACATTTTAAGAGAAATGAAGATTTAAAAAGAGTGCAGTTAGTTAAGACTGGTTACTTGTGGAGTTTTAATATTGAGAGCTGTACACTAGCATTGTTGAAAAACAGATATCAAGGTGAACTTCGTTGCTTCATATATATATCAGACTAACGGAGTTCTTGTGGACTGCCTACTGTTTATTTGGTTAAATTTTGATTTATTCCCAACACAGATGCTTGATGGTCTGGTGAAAAGAATCGCTTTGGACTTTGACGTTGAGAATTTGGCGAGAACAGCCAAGGCTTCTAAAGAAGCCAAAATTGCTGAAGTTGGAGCTGACATTGAATTGCTAACAAAACAGATCTGAATGTTGGTTTGAGGTAAGCACTTTTTTCAAACCTGTATTAAAATAGATGTTTTATTCAAGAAGATGGAGACAGACTTGGTTGCCTCAAAATGCAAGCCATTATTCCTTTCTGCGTAGCATAACTAGCATAGATGGATTAGTTGCCATGCATTAGCAATATAAATTGCAGCAGGGTACAGAACTAGTGTAGCATTTACGAGTACATATTTGATAGAAATCTCTATTCTGCTATCACCTAGGACATGCATTTTTTTCCCATGTTTGCAGAGCTGGGAAAAAACAAAAGTCACAAGTTCTTGAAAGGGATCAACAGCTAGGAAATTGATTTGACCTTACGATGGATGAAATCTGGGTCATGCCATATGAAGATGATAACATTGATCCAGTAAATCGATCAATTGTTTGACGAATATGCTGCCCTCATGTATGCATACAACGAGGCCTCTGGGATTTAATGCAAAATTTAGTTTACAGGAGGAAGTTTCGTGGTAACTGTACTACTTGATACCCAGTATTGTATCATATCTCTATTGAAATTGGAAGGCCAAAGCAGATGAAATCTCATCGATTTGATTTTTCACAGAATTTCTGCCCGTCATTCCGCATTACTATCCTATAATCTCCAAAAAAAAAAAAGTTATTTAATTTAACCGTTCCTTCTTATGATTATCCAGGTAATACTTGCATGTTTGAGGATTTATCTACATGTAAATGCGAAAGCTAGAAAAATATGAACTCTACGCATTCATGAAGTGACAAGAGGCAGTAAATTGGCCTAAAGCACAACCAAGAACAAGTTATGAAATTGCATACCAAATCATCATTTCCATTTTCCATAGAATCTTCCATCACTCCACAACAGCATCCTGTTCAATTTGATCTTGATATTCCTTCTCTTCAGATGCAAGTGCCTAGGCATTATCTTCTTTTCCAAACTGAAAGCAAAATATTGAGGAAACTCCTTCAGCTCATCCAAGCTCCTCTTCATCTCATTCACCAAGTAATCAACTTTGGGTCTCAGATTGTTTTCAATGCTGTACCCAAATATTGCAGGCAATCTTCCACAGATATTCGCAGCCTTATCATGTGAAAAACCTATGCTTCTTAAAAACTCGAACCTCACTTGCATTTGCTCTACGCGGATGTTCAAAAGATGCGCGTTCAAGTTACTAGGAACATTTAACTTATTCACCCCTAATTGCCTCAGGTAATTAAGAGTAGGCCTAAGGAAATATTCCACGTCAGAGAAGAGTAGTCGAGGGCACTTGATGACCAAACCCCTCGATTCTTGAACAGAAGCATGTAAATCGTCGGTCAAGAATTGGAACACGGGCTCAACGTCAGTGATGTCAAAGTTGAGAGACAAAAATTCTGGGCATAGAAATGTGAGCCTAGCAAAGTCGGTCTCCAAGAAGCCTTTGGACTCAAAAAATTTGAGGGTGGCAAGGATGTGAGATATGGCATCAGGGGTAGGGAATTGGCGAGATTTGCTGTTGGGACCAATAACACCAATGGCTTTGAGGTACCTGAGGTTTTCATGGTGAGCTGTGCGGAATTTGATATAATGGGAAGGGTGGGGAGAGGGAGAGAGATGACGGGGTTTAAGGGGTTTCGCCGGTGGATAGGAGGGAGAGGAGGATGGCAGGGAGAGAGAGGAAAGCATGGTTCTGGGGGTTTTGGAGCGAGTTAACTAACTGAAACCGAAAGTGAGTGAGAGTTTTGTATGGTTGTTATTTGGATTACGAGAAGATAAGGAAGCCACTGTTTTTTCTTTCTATTAGGTACATAAGAGAAAAACTGGTGGGCTATAGCTACATGTCATGAACCCCTAACCTTAATAACTAACCCTCTGGTTTCATCGTTTTGTTTCCTACACAAATATCTACAGCAATTTGATTTGAATCTCTGCTACCCTTCCTTTCACAGTGAGTTTTCCGGCACCAACAGCTTCATGGGAAAATGTCCCCAAACCACTTTACAACATCATCTAGTAATTAAAGAGATCAAACATTAACAAATTTAGGCTATATGTTACTCGGACGGATGAATAGCCTGTCTATGGATGGGTAAGGTGGGAGGAGGAGGAGAAAGAATGGACGGATTGCCATCCATCTAGTTATATTGTTTGGCTAACAGAGAAACGGAAATACGAGATTCTATCCAGCCTTCCTGCTTTTTAAATGATCCAGCTATTCCATTCCAGCAATCCTTTGAATTTACCCCTGAAGAACGTCCAACGAGTTCAAGGTTACTTGGGATTTTGTTATTGCTGGTTCTTATCAGCTTCAACATTTATTACAGGAGAGCACGTTTCTGTTCATTGGATAAATAAAAAAAACTGTGTACAGATTTTCACCGATATGTCATTTTGCGCTTTCCCCAAAGTTGAAGCTTTTGTTTTTCTTTAAAGCTTGTAGGATCTGATGGAGAGAGGGAGCAAACAGACACAGAAGGTAGAATAGTAGTATGGGAGAGGCTTGTGGAGATTATGGTTTGTTGATCTTCTTCAAACTAAGTAAACAATTAAATCATTTTTTTTAATGAAAACAACTTGTGTAAAACTTTTTTATTATGTTCGTCAATTAAATATATTTTGGTGGCAAAAGAGCTGCAAAACTTCCATTAATGGAAACCCCAAACCCATCTCTGTTCAACCCCATTTTCTTAAACCACATCTTCTCCTTACTCCAAAACTATCAAACTCAAACCCTACTTCACACTCTTAACAACAACAGTACAAGGAGGCTTTCTTTAACCATCATAACTTGTAGCAAGTTAAAAACTAAGAAATCAAGAACAAGGACAGACAAGAATGTGTCCAAGAAGATTCTCTTTCGAATTCAGCTCCACCTGTTGTGTCAGAGGAGATCAGCGGCGGTGGTGTTGGTGGAAAGAAGGTTCCAGAAAAGGAAAAAAGTAGGGCATTGGGGTTCTTGAAGAGATTGCCTAGAAAGGTTTCGTCTGTTTTGTCTATCTTGCCTTTGGCTATTGGAGAGATTCTTGTTATTGCTGTGCTAATGGCTCCAGGTATGTAAAATTCTTTTGGTGTTAAGTCCTGCCGCCGTTAGAAAGTTAACTTAATTGTGAGTGTCTGATGTGAAGATTTTAGTAGTGGAATTATCACGTAAGAGATCTCGTCCTTGTGAAAGAAGAATAGTCGTTAAGAGGCTTCACTTTGCATGGTTTTACTACTGCAACCTCTATATGGCTAACGTTACGAGCTCAACTCAAGAACTCAAGTACATGGAAAGGTATTATCTAGATGGATCTTAGCTAACCTCTTTTTGCTGATACATTGATCCTGTATTAAACGATACATTATCTGCCTGGCGCTCTCAAATGCTTCTGTATATATAAACCGATTCAATTCATGCTAGTTGCAAGCCTTCCTCGCCGCTGATGCCGAGCACCCTGACAAGGGCTTCTCCAACAACCTGAAAGAAATTGATTTAGATGATAAATAATATTAGCTTTTTTACAAACATCCAACACCAGGTATATGATATAAATAACATTTAGAACAACAGGAAACGTGACGATTCACATGGTTTGCAGGAATGGGAATCCTATAATGCCGTCATCTCAAAAGTTTGGAAGCAAAATCGCGTGTCAATGGCAGAAAAAAGAATTACAAAAGCAACAGATGGAGAAAGGACGATTGCAGCATAATTACCTTGTCTGGTGTAGAGGCACCTGATGTCACACCAATTGTAATGGGACCTTCTGGAAGCCAGTTCTCTTTCTCAGCCAACTCCTCATGCTATCCAGGGATAAATAAATGAGAAGTCTAAAATGAAATGAGAAATAAATTTGGTTAAAGAAAGGGAAATACGAGCAGTTGCACTTACATTCGATTTCTAAGCTATTCTGTTTCCTGGGCCTATCCTCTGTTCACTGTCAATCCAGTATGAAGGAATTCCACGGAGCTCAGCAATTTCTTGAAGGTGGGAGGTGTTCCTGGAGTTCCACCCACCAACGACCAACATAAGGTCCAACTTTTCCTCCACCAGATTATACATTGCATCCTGTTCCACCCACCAACGACCAACATAAGGTCCGACCAACATAAGGTCCAACCACCAGATTATACATTGCATCCTGTCGCACCTGCACATTGAACAAAAGATCGAAGCTTGTGTAAATATAAGATATAAAAACATGAACCAAAACAGTTATCATAAAAGAAACTTTGCTTTTAGTTAATTTGTAGCATTCTTTCCTTGTCTCTAACCTCTTCTCCTTCAGAAAAGGGAAATTCAAGGTTCGAGGTGTTTAAAGGTTGGCCAATCTAGAAATTATGATATGGTTATAGATGGAGAAGGGGATATGAAAAGCACCATTTGAATTTCAATTCCATAAATAGTAAAACGAAAGTAAGCCAGGTAAGACCATCAAATGCCTAAGATTTTCGCAGAACTCTAATGAAAAGCTGAACAAGTAGAATCATCAGAATAGAAGAAAGAATCACATGAGTAGCATCACAAATGGTGTTGAAGCTTATGAAGTGATCATTTATATTTTCCACTCCATACTTGCGCATCATGGTCCTCTCGACCAATTTCCCTGTCAAGTATAGGAAAATCAATAAATTGAGTAGCAATGGTGGCAATTTCTGAGGAAAAGATAGAATGGCTTAGCATAACTAAAACTTGCCAATCTGTTTCTCCCTTGAGCATTGTAGTTTGATTTGCAATGCCAACTTTAACCAGGTAACTGTCAGGATCAAACCCCTTGGAAACTGCATTCTTAAATTTCTGCAAGCAAGCCAACGATTATCTTAGAATTTTGTGTGGTATCCAATAAACTAAATTAAATTTAACTAGAAACAAAAGCTTTACCTCCAGAAATTCCTCTCTGGTTGAGCTAGATCCATCAAGTCCACCCCCAAGAACGTAATCACACACATACATTGCCTGAATTACGTACAAACTTATCAGAATTTTTGCATTTTCTTTTTTTTAAAAAAAAGGATAATGCACAGCACTTCCTATATTCTTGAGAGTCATGATTAACATGCTAAAAAAACATTCTAGGATTTTCTAATATACTAAGTGAAGAAAGGAAACTAGCCACCGCTATTATTTGGAGCATACCCCTTTCATATTCTTCACCGCAATGTACTTTCCTGCAAAAGAAGCAGTTGCTACAGTTTCCTCAAGAGCATATTTCCCATGAATAATTGAGGTATAATCTCCCTTCTTCTGCTTCTCAACAGCATTCCAAACCTTCACAAAATTTCCAAGTCATAATACATGTCATCAAAATACACACATATAATCAACATAGAAAACCAAAGAATTACAAGCAATAAACTAATCTCAAAGATAAAAACCCATCTAAAACATACCTTAGACACCCAAGGGCAAGTTGTATCAACAATTTGTATACTTTTGTTGCTCAAAGTACACATCTCATCCACCGCCACTCCAAAAGCAGGCAAAATCACGACATCAGCACCAGTTACAACTTCAAACCGTTTCTTCCCTTCCTCAACGGGAAGGTTTTCAACTTCCATCTCCTCTAACCGCTGCCACAACAATAAAACACAACACCATCACTAACCATTCACAATTTATTCCTAAAACATGGAATCACAAGAAACAATTTTTTTTTTATCAAAAATAGCTTCACTGCCTCAATTCAGCTCTATACTGCTAGGATTAACCAAATTAAAAAGAAAAAAAAAAGGAATTGAAAACTTATAACACCTTATTAACAGTCGGATTGTGAATAATCTCATTAGTAATCCAAATTTTCTCATCTGGAAACTGTTTTCTGGCTTCGTAAGCAATCTGAACAGCTCGCGCTACTCCCCAGCAAAATCCATAAGTTTGACTGCAACATTTCCCCATGTATACTGATTTCCATTCTCTTTCAACATCTCTATTATATCAAATTAGCGGTTTGGTTTTTTGGGGGAATATCAAACTTCCATTCTCTTGATTTTTTTTCCCTAACCCCCAGCTTTTCCACTCCATTTCTTTCCTAGCTGGGTGACCTGAATATGAGTTACACTTAACACCATTCTAATTTGCTCTTTTCTTTTTAATTTTCATTTACTTTCGGATCAAAATCTTGCCATCATTTCAATTAGTCCTTTATTTTTTTTGTCATAATAAATTTGTAGATACGTTAACTATACATCTAACCGAACCTTGCATTTTTCATAACTGTGAATATTTGCATTTTTTTGTCATATATACATATTTTATTTGATACGAAAGAAATATGTATATGTGGAATGTAGAAAAAGACCTTATATTTATTTATTTATTTATTTCTGATCTGAAAAAGAGGTTAGTTTTTGAAATTAATAAATGCAAAACATATCAAAAAAATCTAATTTTTAATTAAAAAAATTAAATGTTTTGAGAACACACCGTGTTCCCAGACGGTGGTGTAGCCAAATCCTCCAACTGGATGACTTTCCCGACAGGGAGCAGTGTTTAAAAGAGACCTACGTTTTTTATGGAATGTCTGCATGATCCTTAATAAAATATTATATCTGTGGCATTTAAAAGATTAAAAAAAAAAAAGAGGTATTTTTAATCTAACACAAACCCCGAATCTCCTGCAAGGACGACACGTATTGAGTGCCCTCTCTCGTGACATCACAGCAATAAACTCGGTGCCAGAACTCTCCTCTTGTATATGGGCCTCGGGTCTGTAACTTTGACATGAAATACTTCTAACTGGTTGATAGTCATTTCTACAATTTTAGAGTTTTTAGAACACACACGAGGGGACATTGTTAATATTTTTTAAAAATTCAAAAAATTATAGTTTGATTAAAATAAATAAATTAAAAATAATATTTTAAAAAAATACTGAAAAAATAACATATTAGATTGGTCAGAGTTTAATTTATTAAATATATGACTCAAGTTATGAAATTGAGATAACCTTAAATAAAAAAAAATTAAAAAACAATTATGAAACTTAATTCTCATTCAACCAATATTGAAAGATAAAATTAATAAAAAATAAATTAAAAAATAATCCAAGTCAATCCGGATTAATTTGTCAAACTCATGATATAAGATATAAGACTCAGATAATCACATAGAAAGTAAATTGATAAAATAACCAAATTCAATATTAGTTAACTTATCAAACTCGCATCCCTAGTCATAAAGACCAGAATACCTCATAAAATGTTAATTGAAACAAATTATGAAGCACAATTTTAAATTAACTCAATGTTGAATGTTGAAATTGAAAAAAAAAATTTAAAAAAGACTAAGAAATGACTCCAGTTAACTTGTCAAACCTATGGCTCGAGTCATTAGACCGAGATAAGTTTATAAAATACAAATCAAAATAAATTAGAAAGCTTAATTCTCAATCAATAAAATGTTGAATGGTGAAATTAGAAAAAAATTAAGTCAACTGGGTTAATCCTCCAAACTTTCGATCTTGATTATGAAGCTTGGATAACCTCATAAAAAGTAATTCAAAACAAATCATAAAAGTCAATCTATACAAATTAAATATTAAATAATAAAATTCAAAATTAAAAAAAAAAAGGTTAACTTGTCAAACTTGTAAGTCTAATCATGAGACTGAAATCATTAAAATAAATAAAAACAAATAATAAAGTTCAATCCCAATAAATTAATATTAAAGAATTAAATTAAAAAATTAATTAAAAAGGCACTATTAAAAATCATCCATAAATATATTCAATAATATTACGAGGCATTTATGCACTATTTAGTAACACAAAACAATTTTTATTCTTCTTTTTTAGTTTTCTTCTCCTTTTACTCCAATTGAAAAAAAAAACATATTCATTTCTTAAAATTTATGAACATTTTGTCAATCCATAAAACTGGAAAATGTGTTCATATTATATTATTTTTCATTTTAAAAAAATAGTAAAATAAAAATTGTATTCAAATTAAACTTGTTTTCTATGATAAACAAAATTAATTAAGATATAAAAAATTTCCAATGATTATTATAATCAATCCACATTCCATAATTGATCAACAATGGCTTTCCTAACCAAACACATTTTAATGTTGTTAAGACATATCTACTTTAATACTTTCCTACATCACACTAACACCATCATCTTCGTTTAAAAACTCCAATCCTTATCTACAAACAGTTATATGATATGTTTATTCATGTAAAGAGAAATGGTACATAAGTATGTGCATATAGTGGAATACATACATGGGGGTGAATGAGGAATGGGTCTTTATTGGTTACTGATAGTTGCTGGAAACTAGTGTAGTGGGAGGAATATTTCCTTATTGTTAGTTTCATATTGTTAGTGCTTTCCTATATTTAAGCAAGTTGTTTACCTTTCCCAGTTTAGTAGGCTATAAAATATAGCTAATAAGTTGTTTTGAATTATGCAAAAAATAATAAATAACAGCCTTCCTACTCTACTTCTTCTTCTCTTCTTCCCTGATTCTTTTATGATTGATAGTAAATTATTCATCAATTGGTATCAGAACCAGGTTACACCATGGACACTAGAGGAAAATCTAATGCTGAGTTTCGCAACGATGTCAATGAAGCTTTGGCTAGACACGAATCCAACTTCAATCAGGTGCATGGCACTCTACAAACTATACTGACTGAGTTACAAGCCTTGCGCGTCTCCAGGAGTCCAAGAATAAATCCTCCAGAGTTGAACCCAGTTGCTCTTATTGAATCATCAGGTCACAACTCAGGAATCCATCAATCCTCACTTAAACTGAATTTTCCAAAGTTCGGCGAGGAAGATCCAATGGGATGGATTTACAAATCTGAGCAATACTTTGAATACAACAATGTTTCACCTGTCCAACAAGCGTCGCTTGCCTCCTTCCATCTAGAAGGAATAGCCTTACAATGGCATCGATGGATGACTAAATTCCAAGGACCATTAATATGGAAGGAATTAACCAAAGTCATTCTCTGACGTTTTGGTCCAACTGATTTTGAAGACCCCTCCGAAGCACTTTCAAGACTCCAACAAACTACCACCATTTCAGCCTATCAAGAAGAGTTTGAAAAACTCTCCCATCAAGTCAATGGCCTTCTAGAAACCTTTCTCATCAACTGTTTTATTGCAGGTCTAAGAGATGACATTCGCCTAGATTTCAAGATTAAGCATCCAACCATATTATCTAAAACCATCAGTGTCGCAAGGTTGATTGAAGAATGAAACCAACTTCAAAAGAAGGTGACACACCATTACCAGACCCAACCAACTGTAGTCACAACAAAAACAAGCGTGAGTACTATTATAGGGGTACTTGGACCTCCACTAAATTTTTGGCAGAACATGAACCTAACATCAAATGTCAGAAAAATTTCTAACTAGGAAGCATGAGAAAAGCGAGAAAAAGGCTTATGTTATTATTGTAATGAGAAGTTAATTCCGAGTCATTGCTGCCAAAGACTCCAATTATTCATGATTAGTGATACAAATGATCAAGATTCTGAGGGACAATCTAAGGTACTACAAGCGGCAGAGGATGAAGAAGCTATTCCTGAAATTTCCTTCCATGTAATTGCAGGTACAACTTATCCTCAAACCCTTCAGGTGATGGGAAAATTGAGGAGCAAAGAGGTCATGGTATTGATAGATGGTGGAAGCATACACAACTTTATTGATTAATCCATAGTCAAAAAATATGAGCTACCTATGGTTCCTAATAGAAAATTCCAGGTGACAGTAGCTAACGGGGAGAAAATAGATTGCATAGGGTTGTGCCCATTTCTCACCATCATGATATAAGGATAAATTGTTACAATAGACTATTTTATTCTTCCAGTAGCAGTGTTCCTAGTAGTGTTAGGAGTTTAGTGGCTTGCAACACTAGGTCCGGTGGAGACAGATTATAAAAGGCTTACTATGTCTTTCAAAAAGGATGGGAATTTATGTGTTTTTCAAGGGTTGAAACAATCAGGACTATAAGTTTTGACAGAGACGGAATTCAATACTATGTACGTCTCTAGACAATTCTTTGTTATAATTCCAGGAGGCTCCATTACCCAACCAAGTTCACATCTATCTGAAATAGCCCAACTCTTATCCAACTTCTCTCACATTTTCAATCCTCTTACATCCTTACCATTTAGACAGTCACATGACCATCAGATTATGTTGTAGCCCAACGTCTAACCAGTTAGTGTAAGATAGAGATCGAATGAATGGTGAAGGAGCTATTACATGCAAGGTTCATACGCCTCAGCCAAAGCCCATTCTCCTCATCGATCTTGTTGGTTAGAAAAATAGACGGGGATTGACATTTCTGCATTGACTATCAGGCTTTGAATGATCTTACCATTAAGGATAAATATCATATTCTAATCATCGATGAACTTCTCAACGAATTACATGGAGCAAAAATTTTTTCCAAGCTCGATCTCCGTGCTGGTTATCACTAAATCAGAGTTCATGAATACAGCATTTAGAATGCATGAAGGCCACTACGAGTTTGTTGTCATGCCATTTGGACTTACTAACTCACCTACAACCTTCTAAGGACTTATGAATGATCTCTTCCATCCTCACTTACAAAAATTTATTCTTGTCTTCTTCGACGACATTTTGGTGTATTCAAAATCTTGAGAGAATCATTTGAGTCACCTACACACTGTTTTGACAATCTTGTTTACTAACAGTTTATTTGCAATGGAATCTAAATGCAGTTTTGGGGTTACTTCAGTTGATTATTTAGGCCATGTCATATCTAAGCAAGGAGTTTTTGTCAATTCGTCCAAAATTATAGCAGTTTTAGAATGGCTAACTCCAACCACAATTAAAGGAGTCTGAGAATTTTTGGGTTTAGCCGGGTACTACCAATAATTTATTCAGAATTTTGGTGCCATTATTGTTTCCCTCAATCAGTTGTTATTAAAAGGATGGGTTCAAATGGAACGACATGGCTGAACAGGCGTTCAATGATTTA